TTAATAGTCCTCTTGTCTTATAAATCTTCCTTAACTTGAAAAATGCTCATCACTGAAAAGGAGCAATAGAATACATTTAACATCGTTTAACTCTTAAATAAAGACCAAGTCTTCCTGGAGCTTGCTCTCTTGGCCAGCAGTTCCTTCCATAACTAAACCCACTGTTGTCAATTGGATTCTGACTCATAACAACCCTATAAACTCATTGATGTGCAGTCAGAACACCTCATAGCTGACTCTGTTGGGTTTCCCAGCCTGTGCCTATACAGGAGGAGATTGCTATGTTTTTCCTGTGGAACGGGTGGTGAATTCAAGCTGCTAGAGAGTCATGAGCTTCGAATAGCAGTGGAGCTCTGTAAGGACCAGGTCACCGTGAGCTCCCTAGAGGCAGAATAAAACTGCTCCATAGGGTTTCTGAGGCTGTAAATCCCTACAGAAGCAGCCTTCCTCCTCCTCCTTCCATGTAGCAGCTGCTGGTTAAGAACTGTTGATCTTTTGGCTAGAAGTCTAACACCTAACCTACTAACCACTAGAACTCCTTAAGAGTTCCATTGTAGCTGCCATTGAATCAAGTACAATTCATTATGACCTTATGAACAACAGATGTGAATCATGACCCATATTGTGACGCCATCCTTATCATCTCTACCACACTTGAACCCATTGCTGCAGTCACTGTGTCAGTCCACCTCAATGAGGGTCTTCCTCTCTATCATTAACTCTCTACCTTTCCAAGCATGATTCTTTCCTAGAAATGCCAAAGTATGTGAGATGAAGGTTTGTCATCTTTGTTTCCAAGTACTCCAACTGCACTTGCTCTAAGAAGTATGTTTGTTCTTTTGGCAATCCATGGCACATTCCGTGCTCTTCTCTAACACCACAACTCAAAGACATCAGTTCTTCTGTCAGCCTTATCCATACCTATTCAATCTGTATGCTGAGCAAATTGAGAAATGACACGGGGGGAAAATGTAGCATCAGGACCAGAAGACCCATTAATGTCTACATTATGCAGATGACACAGCCTCACTTTCTGAAAATGAGGAAGACTTGAAGTGCTTGCTGCAGAAGATCAAGGATGATTGCTTTCACTGTGATTATATCTCAATGTTAAGAAAACACAGGTTCTCACTACTGGGCAAACAGGCAGTATCATGATAGATGGAGAAAAGATTGAAACTGTCAATGTTTTCATCTTACTTGGGTCCACAATCAACATATTTGATACTAGCAGTCAGATCAAGAGACATATTGCACAAGGAAAGTCTGCACTCAGGGATCGCTTCAAATTACTGAGGAGCAATGATAACAGTTTGAAGACTAAGGTGCACCTGATTGAGGCCATGGTCTTTTCTTTCAATCACTTGCTGTGTATCTGAGAGCTAGACAGTGAATAACGATGACAGAAGAAGAGGTGATATCTTTGAACTGTCATGATGGAGAAGAGGAGTAGTACCTTTCATCAGAGGATGAAAATAGTAGCTCTTTGTCATATGCCTGTAAGTTTTGTGAAAGATAAATATATTCTTTTCTTCTGACTTTCTTATTTTAGATATTTGGTATCTGTTAAGTTATTTAAAGGAAGAGCTGTTCTAATGAAAACCTTCTTTTACTTTCCTTTATTAGGCCATTAAAAAGCTATCTTCCCCACTACTGATAATTTGCCCAGAAACTACAGTAAAGGAGGTTACATTGTAATCACGGGCTTGGCAGGTAACCTGACTCAGTTTCAAATCCCAGCTCTCATATCTGCTAGGTTTGTACCTTGATTTATCTGAGCTGCAGTTTTCTGGTTTGCAGACTGGACATGACAAAACCTTATTTGTGAAGAGCATGATGGGGAGAAGGAGTCCATATAAAGAGCTTAGCACAGAACTTGGCATTCAGTAAGGGTGCAGTAAAGGGTGGATACTAAGTCCTTTATTCCACATGTTTGGGACATGTTAATCAGGAGTTACTAGAGAAAGAACTAATGTTTGGTGAGTGGACCTAACCTACTGCAGCAGAGTAGAATCTGACTCCTAGGGGCCTCCTTCAGGTTTCCAAGGCTGTGTATCTCCACAAGAGGAGACCGCCTATCTTTATCCTGCAAAAAACCCAGTGGATTCAAACTGCTGGACTTTTATTTAACAGTGCAGCACTTAATGCACTGTGGCACCAGAGCTCCTTTGGTGCAGTAGAAGGTTGTCAAAGAGAAGACCCTCAATGAAATGGATTGGCAGAGTGACTGCAGTCAACTTAAACATAGTAACAAGTATGAAGATGACTAAGATATCACTCTGTTGTGCATGTGGTCACTGTGATTTGTAGCTAACTTGATGGCACCTAACAATAGCAGATTACGTAGGGTATTTCCATGTTCACATATGGCATTTGACTTCATGTTCCCCGCTGTGATGCTGAACCTTGTGCCATGCGGACATCAAATACCATAATGGTTTCTCGTTGTGGACAGTGTTTGGTGGAGCTCCCAGTTGTAAAACAGGTTGGGAAGCAGGAGTGGCATCCATTTCCTAAACCACATGCCTCTGGAAACTCTATGAACTTGGAGAAACAACAATAGCTATGGAAAGACATTAGGTCTTTTGTTCATAGAGTTGATTTAAGTTCAGCTCGACTCAATGGCAATCACCACCAACAACAACATTATGAATTAGTCTGGAGACTAAGGTGTGCCTGATCCAGGCCATGGTCTTCAAAATTACATGCTATGCATCAGAAAGCTGGACAATGACTAGGGATGATAGAAGGAAAATGGATGCCTTTGAGCTGTGGTGTTGGAGAAGAGTATTGACTGCTAGGAGAACAAACAGGTTTGTCCTAGAGAGGGTGAGACCAAGTTGCTTCTTGGAGGCAAGGATTCTGAAGCTTCATCTGACATACTTTGACATGTTGCAAGGCGGGATCAGTCCTTGAAGAGGGATGTCATGCTTGGGAGGGTGGAGGGACAGTGCAGGAGAGGAAAACCCTCAATGAGATGGATTGATTCTGTCACTGGGGTAATGGGGATAAGTGTGTCAGAGAGGATGAAATTGGCTCAAGATAGAGTAGGGTTCAGAGCTGTTGTACTATGTTGTTACTGTGAGTTGCAAGTGACTCAGTGGTCTGTAACAAGAGCACAACATCGTGAATTGGGGAGCTTTGATGGTATAGTCTGTGGGGAATTGTGCTGCTTATCCAAAGGCCATGTCTCTCTAGTAGGTCAAATCCACCAGTGACTCCTTGAGTGGCCAGTCTCCCTCTAAGCAATTTATAGCCCCAGAGCCTAATGGAGGCCAGTTACGAGTCATTTTGACGATGGCAGTATTCTGAATTATGGAGCTCTGGTGTCAAAGTTCAAAGAGAGTTTGTCTGTTAATCCAAAGTCTGCACCTCTCTACAGGTTTAAATCCACAAGCAGCTCCATGGAATAAAGGTGGGCAGTCTCCTTACATGTGATTTACAGAAACTCAAAGGAGGGTCAGCTATGAGTTGGTTCTGCCTTGAGGGCAAGAGGTTTTATTGTTAATTGGGTGGTGGCTGCCCAAAAACAGCATACCCTATACCTGCTAATATAACACCATTGGGATTTTCCTTGTTACGCTAATGTCACTATACATTAGAATTGACTCACACAATAAGAAGCCTTAAACTATGAGAAAAGACATTTCTGTTTCTTAAAGCCAGTCACTTTTATTGTATGTTTGGTACTGTCAAGTCAGGGCTGATCCAAGGCTGACTCTACAGAAAGTTTTCAGAGGCTGTAAATTGCATGGAGGAGACTGCCCATCTTTGGAAACCCTGCTTACCCCATGCTCATTACCAGCCCTCCTTGGCATTTAAAGATCTAAAAATTAAGATAGATACGTAAGAAAATAATTCAGAGTTTGAGGGCCTTTGAGGGACAAATGACAGTGATTCCTTAAAATTACATACAGATAGTGCAGGCCAGATGTTTGGACAAAGTATTTATTATGTAAAACTTGGGGATTTCCCCAAGGATACATATGTAAGTGTGCTGCTAAATGACTTAACTAAGTTTAATGTCCCAGTTTCTGTGTATTCTTGGACAGTGTCTACTTATCAACAAGAAATGATCTCTCAGGGAAGTGAATTCATCCAATTTGAAGATAGCCCTGTTTGCACCCCCCTACCTACCCATCCACCATCTCTGCCACCCTCAAAGACATCTATATGCAATGACTAGTAGCCATTGGGCAGTTTCACTAGCTTTTTAGTCCTTTGTCTTTACATCTCTGGGCCTTCCTTTAGCCAGAAACCTTTATGGCTTCTGAAGAACCATTTCTTCATCCTGTGAAGGTGGGACAAGATAATGTCATGCTAGCTAGCAGGATATTTTGGACAGAGGCAGGGAAGTATCTGACTCTATCCAAGCACTAAGCACAATGGCCTGTAAGAGACTCACTTTAGCCCAGTCAGTTTACTTCTGATTTCATCTCAGTCTGGATCTGGTTGTCCAAATGAATTGCTTCTAATATAACTGCTTAACAGGACAGCCCATAAACTGGACAAAAGTAAGTGCCATAGCAATTGGATATATTCTGCCAAGATTGTTATAGATTCCTTTAAATGCTGAAAGTATGTAAACTGGGATTCATATCTCATCTTGGATCCTTCTTTCTTGAAGTGGGCTGATAAAAATTGGTGAAGTCTATCTAACACAGATTAGCATCTGCCCACATAACACAGGAGTAGGAAGCAGAAAAACGTGGATTCGAACTGTGGCTCTGTTGCATAGGTGTATAACTTGGTTACTTAGCTTTTCAAAGCTTCAGTTTTTTCATTTGGAAAAGGTAGCCAACACCGACCTTGGAAAACTGATGAAGAGGAAATCATGTATTAGTATCAGCAGAGTGTTTGGTGTTCATGGTCGTGCAAGCAGGTTGTGAGATTGGGGGAGCCTCAAAACTGTTGCAGCGGAAGAAGCCACCTTAGTGATTTGTTAACTGGAAGTGTTTAAGTCTTTGTGGGATAGGGAATGGTGGATTAGAATGGGGAGCATGACCTTCTGGGTCAGATACAGGGAACTTGAAGTTAACCTTTCTGTTCAGTAATTGCCTGACTCTCTGAACCTATTTCTTCATATCTAAACTCTTAGAAAGGCGCTCTGGGGGCACAGCAGTTGATCACTCTACTGCAAACCAAAAGATTGACTGTTTACCCAGCGGCTCCATGGGAGGAAACACTTGATGATTTGCTTCTGTAAAGAATACAGCCTAGGACATTCTATGGTGACTCGCACCTCTGTACTGTTGGGTTGCTATGAGTTGACATCACCTTGATGTTAACAACAATAATCTAATACCAACGCCTAATTATCAACACAGTCAAAGTTGTTTGGAAGAAGAATAATGCTTATATATGTGAAGTTTCCCCACACTGTCAGTGATACACAAGGTTGTTGTTGCTAGGTGCTGTCGAGTTGAGTACGACTCATAGTGACCCTATGAACAAAAGAGGTAAATTCATTAATAATGCCAATCTGTATGTTTCCAGTCATAAAAGGAATGATATAATACATAGACAAAGATTGAATGGACCAGTGTTCTCATACAAAGAGCCTATGTATATCCAATAACATACATACACATACACACACAATAACAGGCTTTGTAACTTCAAAATATAAGAGAATGGGTATCTTAAGGTTTTTGCTTATAAGATACCCATTCTCTTAAATTTTGAAATAAGTGATAAATGGTATTTTTAAGGATTTTGTATTTTTCTGTTTTAAACTAGAATCTAGTAAATATGATAGCTACAGTATCATTTTCTCTGAATTGTGTATATAAGGTTGTTGATTAATTTGATAATGGGGAGTATATATTGGTCGTATAATGCCTCTCTTGATTTTTTTACTACTGCCGCCAAGGCTGTTGATAGTGGATGAAAATAAAATTAAATCCTGGACAACTTCAATCTTTTCACTGTCTACCATGGCAATGCTTATTAGTCTGTGAGAATTTTTGTTTTCTTGATTTTCAGTTTAATCCACAGAGTGCTGAATAATTAGTAAGTGATAGTAGTTTAAAAAAAGATATCTCTTTCTTACCTTTGAGAAAGTTAAGATACATTTTAAAACATTGAGAGTATCCTTGAAAAAAATTAGGCAAAAGGGAGAAGCATTCACACAGATACACAATTGTATGTGAAAAGAATGGCTTTGCCAAAAATTGTGGGGTGTTGGTCTGCCAGCCCAAATGAAGCAGCACCTCTCTTGACTTGTGTCAGCCTGCAGGTCTGCAGGAGAAAGGTGGGCGGTCTCCTCCCCTGCAGTTTACAGCTTCCAAAACCAGGTGGAGGATCAGCAGTGATTTGGTTCGAGCTCTTGAAGTGAGGTTTCTGAGCATCATAGAAAACTTCAGAAGTACTTTCATGATGACTTTAGTGAGTCAGGACCAAAGTAAACAGTTGTCTATCCTGTTCCAGTTGTCCATGCTGAAAGCTTAAAAATCCATTTTAATTAAAACTAGTAAACAACACTTTGTTAGGCCGCATCAGTGAGCATAACACCCTTTTCTAAGGTAATATGACTTTGACACCTTTGAATTAAAAAACGATCTATGTAGTTTTAGACCAACTTTATTCTATAGTATGAAGATGAAGGAAGGTGATAATTACCTGACAATTTGAGTTTGTATATTCCATTTGGGTAAATCCGTTTTCTAGGTGGGTGTTATGCACTCTCTTAGAGTATTTGATGTTGACATGACCAGCCTTCAGCAGGTAATTGCCAAGTTTTGTCTTCTTGTAGATTTTGCCTTTCAAAAAATGAAACAAAATCTCTTGTTTATATGTAGTTACATTTAAAAGCTAATGGCTTTTAAATGGAGAAAAAAAAATCAGAAGTGTTTTTTGAAGCTACCTTTAAAAATGTCCTAGAATTAGCAGATTCACCTAGAAGACCCCAACTTTCCTTAGAAGATTTACATGTTTTCAGTCTCCTTTCTTCTGGATTGGACCCCCTTAAGACTCAAGGTGGTTAACATTCAGGTCAATTTGAGGCTTCATGTGATTTTTTTTTTCTTTCACAGTAGTAACTTGGGCTTGATGAAGTTTTTTTAATCTAGATTTTTAATTAAAGCTTCCCAGTCCTCTAAGAAATATGCCAAGGAACATCCCAAGTCGATTACTGATTCCTTCTTATGCAAGGAACTGTATATTTCAGAGTAATGATTTATTCTAAAAATTTCCTTTTAAGTATCTCCTCCTTCTGTTTGCAGTAAATGATGTTAAAATGGAGCTTTTTATTTATAAGAAGAAGTTGGATTTGCATTAATCCATTTTTGCTCTAACAGAACATTTTCCTATGTATAGTTATTTACACCACAGAATTCATATGAGACACATAAAATCAGAGTGTTTGGACTGGAGGGGCCCTCAGGGACTATCTGGTCAACCTCTTGTTTTTCAGCTGAGACACAGGCAGGCACCTTGCCCAGTCTGTGCATCACATAGCCAGCGGGTGGCCCAGTGCTTAGGACTGCCAGGCCCTCCAGACTCCTATTTTATGTGCCCTCTCCAGTCTCTGCTGCCTTTAGTTTGATTGTGGGTGGCATTTGAGTTTTTTGGTGTTTGTTGGATTTGCACGTTTGGTAAGTAAATAATCACTGAATTTTTGGTCATGAATGAATGGTGGAAGTAAAGACCAAATACTGTGTTACAGAAATATGCAGTGAAACCCTTTAAATAAACAAAATTGACCTACCTGACTTTGAACTCAGTTTCCCTTTCCACCCCAGAGCTGACCATTGTAGTCTTTGGCTGTATGATCAAATGGCTCACAGCAGATGTTTTTGATCTTCTAGAACAGAAGAATCAATAACAGAAGATGACAAGAGGAGGTACGTTTTGAATTGCAGCTGAGTTTAATTTGAATAATTTTGGCCCTGCCTCATGGATTTAACACACTGTAGCACATTACCTGTAATACAGATTCTACTGGGGAAACTTTTGGCTGAGAGAATACAGGTAGGAACATATTCTGTGAAAGTAGTTGGCCAGGATTCATGATTTTTGCTTTCCTCAATCAAGCTTGGCTTTGTCCCTTACATGAGCTGTGTGACTTTCCATCTTTTAGCATTTTATGTGTTGTTCTATTTGTATGACTTGTCTCTCTTCTCTAAGCCTTTTCTGTCCTTCTGCCTCCTCCTCTGAATAACTGCATTGAAGGCACACGGTTCAAGGCTACCAGCTGCTCCAAAGGAGAAAGGTGGGCAGTCTCCTCCCATATGATTAACTGCCTCTGAAAACCCACCAGACGGTCAGCTATGGGTCGGTTCCAATTGTTGGTACACAGCCAGAACAGTAACAGTCTTACTGTGTCTCATTTTATATCTGTCTGGCTGGACTTTATGAGGAGGAATGTGGCATCTGGGTTGGAGGAAGACTCATCGACAACCTGCGTTATGCAGATGACACAGCCTTGCTTGCTGAAAGTAGGCAGGACTTGAAGCATTTGCTGCAGACGGTCAAGGACTATAGTTTGTAATATGGATAGAAGTGTAACATCAAGAAAACAAAGGTCACTGTTGGGCCACTTGGCAACATCATGATAGATGGAGAAAAGATTGAGATTGTTAATAATTTCAGCTTGTTCAGTTCCACAGTCAACACTCATGACATCAGCGGTCAGGAAATCAAAAAACGAATTGCATTAGTATAATCTGCTGTCAGGGACCTACCTTTCCAGAGTAGTGAAGGGCAACAATGTCAGTATAAAGACTAAGTTGCACCTGATCCAGGCCATGGCCTTCACAATTACTTGCTATGCATCAGAGAGCTGGACAATGACCAAAGATGACAGAAGAAGAATAGATCACTTTGAGTTGTGGTGCTGGAGAACAGTATTGGACATACTGTGGACTGCCAAGAGAACAAACAGGATTGTCCTGGAGAGGGTGAAAACAAGTTGCTCCTCGGAGGCAAGGATTTTGAGATTCAGTCTCACATACTTTGAGCATGTCGCCAGGAGGGACCCATCTTTGGAGAAAGCTATCAAGCTTGGAAAGGTCAAGGGACAGTGCAGGAGAGGAAGACCTTGGATGAGATAGATTGATACAGTAACTGGCGTAGTAAGGGTAGGTGTGTCAGATTCAGTGAGATTGGCTCAGGAGAGGAGAGCAAGGTTCACAGTGCATAGGGTCACTGTGAGTTGTAATCAGCTCAGTGGCACATGGCAACAACATAAGCAAAATGGTTTTTTGCCCATAGCACCTAAAAACTGTATTGACCACTCTGAATTCTTGCTGAATGTTGACTCAGTATAACATTCTTCTTTACTAACCTTTATCCCATTTGGATCATCCCACCTTGAAGAAAGTGCAACCAGAGTGCTCCATAGAGGCAAGGATGGTGACACTTCTAACTTACTTTGGACTTATTTTCAGGAGGAATTAGTCTTTGGTGAGAGTACCATGCTGGAAAAAGTAGAGGGTCGGTGAAAGATATGAAGACCCTCAGTGGGCTAGACTGACTCAGTGACGACACAGTGGAACTGAGCAGGACAGAGAGATGACGATGGCGCAGGATAGGGCAGGATTTAGATCGGTTGTTCATGGGTTTTCTGCGAGCCATAGTTATCTTGATAGCACCTAACAGCAAGAACAAGATTGCTACAAGTATAATAAACAAAAATTTTACTAAGGAAATCCTGCTTTCTTCCTTCTGTTTTTCTGTTTTGTTTTGTTTGTTTTGGGTTTTTTTGTATAAAGTTACTCAAGTGTTCAGGTCTGTCATTCATCGGGTCACCATGAGTTGTCTATGACTCGACGGAACTTAACACCACCACCAACATAGAGCTCTGTGGGCCTCGTGGACAGGAAGTTATGCTACCAACCCAAAAGTGGGTGATTTTAATCCGTGGCCCCCAGGCCTGGTTTTAATTGCTTGTTTTGTTGGTTTTGGGTTTTTTGTTTTTTTTTTTTTGGGTCAAACATTTTTTCCAAGTGGTATAGAACTGGTCTATTTGCTGTACAGAGGTAACTTGTGGTTGCTGTGATGCTAAACACAGTGACACTGATGTGTCAAATGCAATAATGGTCACCCGGTTACCCATGGTGGACAGTGTTTGGTAGAGCTTCCTGATTAAAACAAGCTTGGAAGCAGGAGAGGCATCCACTTCCGCAACAGCTTGCCTCCAGAAACCCTATGAACTTGGAGAAATGATGAAAGTTATACAAGTGTTCAGGTCTTTCGTTATGAGTCATCTATGACTTGACAGCACTTAACAACATGCTGTATTTTTTAGATTAATAGAAGATAATTCTCATCACAAGGGCAATGATATCCTTAATTCTGTTTTTGAATAGCCATGAATCGTTTTTTATAATTCATTGAAAAATAATAAGGACTGCAGCCTTCAGTATGGATTACATCTCAATGTCAGGGAAGAAAAATCCACCATCAGACAAATAAGTAGCATTATGATACATGGAGAAGATAATGAAATGTCAACAATTTAAATTAGATCTGTAGTCAACACCCATGGTAACAGCAGTCAAAACACCAAACAAAAGACGGGTTGCGTTGGGGAAATCTGCTGTTAGGGACTTCTTTAATGTTCTAAAGGAAAAAAAAAAGGTGTCAGTTTAAAGAGTAAGGTATACCTGATCTAAGGCATGCTATTTTCTAGTTGCTTCTTTATGCATATGAAAGCTGCATAGTGAATAGGGAAGACTAAAAAAGAACAGATGTCTTTGAATTGTGATGTTGTCCTATGGTGAATGTCCTAGGGTGTGGATTACTAAGAGAATCAACAAATCTTTCTTGGAAGTAGTGCGACCAGGGTGCTGCTTAGAGGCAAGGGTGGTGATCTTTCCCCTTATATATGTTGGGAGTGGTTTAGTTCTTGGGGGGAAAACCCCACTGTGCTGAGGAAAGTGAGAATCAGCAGAAGAGAGGGAGACTTTGAAGGAGATGGATTGAGGCAGTGAGTCCACCAGTGACTTGAGCTTGGGAGAGAGTGTGAAGACAGCCCACGGTAGAGCAAGATTTCTGTTTGTTGTCCATAAGGTTGCTAGGAGTCACACTCAACATTAAGACATCTAACAACGTAGTTTTGGTTTGTTTTTTTTTTTTTTTAACTTAATCCAGGTGCTCTTGTTTTCTGTAAATACATAGACTCATAAATTGGTCTGATTTTCCTCTATCTCCACCTTTTCATTTAGAAACTACGGAGGGGTATATGTTGGCCTTCCATCTGAAGCTGTCAGCATGGTAGCCAATCAAACAAAGACAGTGCCAAAAAGTAAGTCAAATCCTGTAACAGTTGTTATCAGTAAATATTTGGTTTTGCACTCTGGTGGAAAATTTCTATGTCAACTTGCTGGGACTGGGGCTATGCAGTTATTTAGTTGCAGGGAATCTTATCATTGTAATTATTTGTTGCAGTTGCCACCCTACATGCTACAGTATTTCCAGAGCAAAATGTGGTTTCTGCTTTCTAAACATGGCCATGATCCATGAGTATTTTTAATTTCTTGTCAATGTGAAAATGAAAATTAATGGTTAAATAAGTTTATAGAGTCTTTGTAGAACATAAAACTAAATCCCAGTAACATAAAGATGACTCACTGACAAGCAATCTGGTGGTTAAGGGAAGAATTACAGCCTACTCTGTAATTATGTGAAATGAGATGGTGCTTTCAGGTCTAGTGAGGTTCTTTTCATTATGAGACATGACTGTAACCTTGTAGCTAGCTTCTTGCCTAAGTAAGATTCCAAAGTGCAGCTCTAATCACTGCACAATTATCTTATATAAAGTCTTTTATGTAATAAAAATATTAGTACTTTTAATTTGTACACAAGGCTGCCTTGCATTATTTATTTTCATTGTTTGTTCTTCATTATTATGTCACTATTTTATGAGCTCTGGTGGCCTGGTGGTAAGAAGCTGTGCTGCAATCCCAAGGGCACACAGTTTGAATCCACCAGCTGCTCTGCTGGAAAAAGATGGACAGTCCCCTCCTGTGTGCTTTTTACTGTCTCTGAAAACAAACTGGAAGGTCAGCTATGGTTTGGTTCCAACTTGAAGACACAGAACAACAACATTTTATGACTTAGACTTCTTGTTGCTACGTGCCATCAAGTCGGCTTCGACTCAGTGTTCTGAGAAGAGCAGATCTGAACTGTGATCATCAACTCTGATGTACTTAAGCACATTGTAACAGTCTCTGGGTCAGTCCATCTTGTTATGGGCCTTCTTCTCACACTCATCCTCCACCTTTCCAAGCATGATGTCCTTCTCCAAGGACTGCCTTCTCCTAACAATGATTTAGACTGATGTTGAGTACTGTCAAGTTGGAAGTGAATGATAGCTGACCCTAACAGAGGCAGCTAATCACTCAGGGGGAGATTGCTCAGCCTTCCCCTTCAGAGCAGCTGGTGGATTTGAACCATTTGCCTTCGGGATTGCAGCATAGCTTCTTATCGCTACTGTTAATAGTCTTATAGGAAACTAGAATATGTTCTAGATATTCTGAGCATTTAACATTTCTTAATTTTTTTCTTAAAGATTAGAAGAGAAGGGGATCATGACTCGGCTATCAAGAGGTATTGTATACGTGTCTAAATACACATAATGATGAGCAAATTGTAGATGTTGCTGTGTTTCTAAGAGGTCTTAAATTTTAGGGTTAGAATAATTTGACTCATGGCTAAATATTTAGAATCAAACATGTTTTATTTTCAAGGTTCTTTAATGATGAGCTCTGTTTTCTCTGTGGTTTCCTTTTTTTATTCCCCCTCCCCCATTTCCTTTGTTCTGCATGGAGCCAAGTTTATTTAATAAGAGCAGGTGAGTTCACAGAGAACATGAGGTGTCACGCTTCTTCAAGGCCAAAACCTTGAGAAAATAGAACTTGAGAAATTATTTCTAGGAAGAGATCAGAGAGCCTTGGATTGAGTACCAGAGTAAGATTAATGTAGTTTGGCCACAACCAGAAGTTCGTTAATAAACAGAAAAAGAGCGTTTTATCAATATGAGAAATCTGGTCAGGATGAGTAATCACCAGCCAACTGAAATGTAGTTACACAGAAAGAAATATAAAATCCTAGACTAATTTACAAATCAGATAGTGTAAAACACGTTCAGTGTGGACAGAAGAAATTGTTGTCTGAAACAGGAACCACTGTGGACCTGAGGTAGAATTGTAGTAATACAGATACAAAGGAGAACAGTAGAGAACCAGCTTCCACTTATTACCTTTCTCTGTTGTGTATTGAACAACCATTTCTTCCAAAGGAAGGGACTCTGGCAGTCAGTCTCAACAGTGAATTTCATACCTGGATCTTCACTCGATTTCAGCCATGCTGCTTGGAAAGAGCCAGTGATTCAGAATACCCCATCTCTTGAGTTCACGTGCTGTCTCTGGGAATCAGACAGTATCAGGCTTGAATTCAGGCCCTTGGACTGACTAGTTACCCTTTGTAGTCTCAGCTTTATTCTTGTAAAATAGAGCCAATGCCTGTATGGAAGGATTGTTGTTAAGACTTAAATGTAGAGCCACACAATTTGATGGGTGAAGAGAGGGATTGGTAAAGGAAAGGAGAAAGGTCAGGTGTAAAAACAGTGTATATGAACTTTGCATGTAAATCAGTATAAAATAAATTTTTTTAGAAACAGAAAAATTTGCAACATTTTGCCAGAAGGCAAACAAAGAGGGGGGAATCCTACCCAGTGCTTTGATTTGTAAATAATTCCTTTCTCAAATGAGCGAGCTGATTTAGTAAGAATAAACTCCTATAAGTGGGGAAAAAAAAAGTAAAGGAATGATAGCTTCCACTATCATTATAGGCATCCTTTTTGCCATCATCATACTATTAACCTTTTTTTTTAACCAGAATCCAGCCATTAATACACTCATTCCTCATTTAACAACCTAGGCAGGTGCCAAAGATTAGCTTGTGTAGCATAGATGATCGGTGTTACACAAAATGAAGGGTGATCACATCGGTTCACAAAACGGATCATGGCACCTTACTACCTAACTGACCGATTGCTTCATTATGGAATGGCCAGGTTCCATTATTACTAATCCAATCCACTGAGAGTCCAGCCTGGCTAAATTGACACATTAACTGTCACAGCCAACCTTAATCTCACATCACACTTCTACATTTATTAATATATCAAATTGTCCGATGTTGTTCTTTACTAGTGTAAATGCAAACTGTCAGATAATGAGAAAGTCAGTAAGTGAGAAGCAGGTGTATTGAAGCAGCTTCTTGCATTGGGCCAGTGACATTGCTGTTTGGGATGGGGGAGGGTTGCAGAATAAGCCCACAAATGAAGGCAAATAAGCTTTCGTTGCTAGAGAAAGGGGCCACAGGAGGTAGAAAAGCCATCTTCCTGAGAGGAAATAAGTAACATCCCTGGGAAGATGCTTTCTTCTGAAGCTTTTCTGTATGCAGTGTTCATAATAAGTTTCTGACCTTCCCTGCAAATTTGAGTGCCTTGCCAGTTTTCATCTCTGAACAAGTCATTTCAGTGTCTACATCAAGTAGAAAAAAGTACTCTGGTTGAAAGCAAATACCAATTACTCTCTATTTTCTTAAAAGCAGATGTGTTCCAAGCGTTGGGTTAGAATAGGAAGAGAGGCCGTGTAAGTGGCTGTCCAGCGACTGGGTGTGGTCACAGCTCTGTCTCACATGGTTAGAGGAGTCCCTTTACAGTATCTTTCAGTTCCACTTTTCTTGGAGATAAAGAAGCAAGATAATTGTTCCTCTGGATGAGTGTATCTAAAATTCCATAATAACAACAGGATGTTACTGATAAGCCAGCCAGCATAACTTGAGAAAGCTAGCTGAAATATTTCCTCACAGCTCATGGTTATTAATGCATGTGATTTTGTTGCGTTCCACTTTTCACTTCATCCCCTCCCTCCCAGTTTCTTACTCCTGAGCTATCGGTTTGATCCTAGTCTTCCCCCAATCCTTTGGATTACCAGAAAGTGTTCTAAGTTGAAATGCTGTCTATTTTGTTGCTGTTCAGGATTTACTTGTGCGTGCTTATCTGTGGTGGACATCTCTCTGAGCTTAAATTACGGGGAAGAGATTAGGATGAGCATAAAGACATGTTCTAGGAAGGACTGGAGATGCATTTATCAAACTGTCTTATCTCCAGAGATGAAGCTGGAGGTAAAAGGTGGTTAGGTTATTTTTGGAAACAAAGTCTAGAATGGTTTGAGAATGTGTTAAAATTATTCACATCACAAGTACCAGTTTGTGGTTTCCTGTGCAGATGACTCTAGCGTGAAAGCTATGCTCCTTTGGATGTATGGAGGACCTCCAGCCAGAGGAACCTAAGTGAGATCTCTTAAATGCCACTCAGTGCACCTGTAACATGAGGGTTCCCAAAAGTACTTGATCTAATGTATGGTACCAGATCCTTCCAAGTAGTCTTTTGGCACACTGGTTAAGTATTTGGGTACTAACCAAAAGGTCAGTGATTTAAATCCATCAACCACTCTATGGGATAAAAACCCCTACTAATCGGATCTCATGAAGATTGCAAATCATCTAAACTATGGACTTTAGTAAATAATAACATATCAGTATTGGTTCATCAGTTATGAAGAATATGCCACACAAAGGCAAGATGCCAAAAATAGAAGGAACAGTGATTGGGTGGGAAGGATAGAGGGTTTGTGGGGACTCTCTGCACTTTATGCTTAATATTTTATAAATAAAAAATTACTCTTAAAAAGAAAATCTGTTTTTAGCAATAAGAAAAAATATATTGCAATTCATTGCTATACAGTGAATCAGTTCCAACTCATTGGAACCTATGAGACAGACTAGAACTGCCCCAGAGGGTCCCGGAGCCTGTAATCCTTACAGATGCCCATGACCATATTTTCTCACACGGAATGGCTGATGGCTTTTCAGTTAACAGTTGCATGCTTAACTACTGCACCACCAGGGCTCCACCAGGGAAACCCAGCTTCTCTGGCAGATTGGTTGCTGTGAGTTGGAATTGACTCAATAGCACATATTAGCCCCACCCTTGGGGTTCCAACAATTAGCAAAAGGCTGGTTTATAGCAAATATATTTTTAACGTGTGTGGTATTGATAAAAGGCTTGGCTTCACCATTGTTTTATCATGTTATATTTAATTGAAAGATTCTTAGCCTCTTTTCCCACCTCACTTTGTCATTTTATATAGATGTCTAGTGCTTTGCATTGTGCTTAAAATCATAAATAAGTACTGAGAGAATTCTGAATGTATTTTGCTTAAAACCAGTAGTTCAAATTAGCAGTAAAATTAGTAGTTAATTTGTTGGCGTATTGTTACTTTCCATTGAGTCCATTTAAATACAAGACAACACTACTGGTACCCAAGTAACTGTAATCTTTCAGAAGCAGATCATCGGAGTTAACCTTCCTTTGGCTGGGTGTCGACTAACCTTTCAGCTGGTAGTTAAGCACTTAACCATTTCTACCCCCAGGGACAGATAATATTATTAACTAAATTGTGTCTTTCCAAATTTGCTAACTCTTTCTTTCTTTCTTTCTTAAAAGCTATTGTCATCATAGCTTGCAAATGAAGATTCAGAAAGAACCTGGCTCCATGGGACACTGTACTGTGCACAGACATTTTCCAAGTAAATTCTTTGCAGTCCTGTCTCCAAACCCAACCCCAGAGTCTTAGTGTATAGTTAAGAAATCAAGGGTAAAAACCAAACCTACAGCTGTTGAGTTGCTTCCAATTCATGGTGACCCCAAACCATGGCTACATGCTGGATTAATAGCAGGGAATTGGTTAGTCGGTTTGCTCATATATAGAACTTCCTGCGAGTGACCCATGAAAGACAAGTTGACAGACGGTCCTGGGAACTCTGACTTCCCAGCCTGCTTGGCTGTGCTCCGGCCATGTTTTCACCCTCGCCATTCAACACAGTTCATGAAGATCATATCTTTTCACTGATACTTTTTTGATAATTTTTATATAGCAGAATCCATATTCTGTTTATAACTTAGAAGTTTAAAGCTTATAACTGAACTACCTAAAGTAATAATATATTTATCCGTTGCCTTTCAGTATTTTTACTTCACATTCATTTGTAGCTATAAGATTATCCAACTTGTTTTTTACCGTTCTTTTTCCCCCTGTTTGATTTTCAGCTTTATAGAAATAACAGGAAATTTCCTTTGTTAGGAACAGTGTATTCCATCGCAACGTTGAATTTTCCACTGGGGTGGGGTGGATCTCAAGTATTTAATTTGCTTACCATCTGCACATTTTATTAAATATCTATTTTCTTTACTCCAAAGTTTATGTAACTACAGATACATCAGAACTGCTTAGTTTCCCCCCCTCCCTTTGTGTAATCATGATATCTCATCTTGTTAATTCTGTATTATTTTCACAGATTTATGATGAATGGTTAGTGGAATATTTGGACAGTTCTCAATTTGATGATGACCATTGTGTCTCTGTTAGTACCACAATGTAAATGATTCAATTTACCAATGTATTTCAACAAATAAAATATTTTTATCCCTCTTTACTTGGGTTTCTCAATTATTTAAAATTAAAACACATTAAAAAAAGCCATGAATGCCATTGTTTTTTATATATTCACCACTAGGCCAATAGACAGTATCACTGTAGATGCAGAAAAGAAGGAAGTTGTCAATGATTTCTTCTTATTGGATGCATACTCAACACCCTTGTACCAGTAGTCAGTAAATCAAAAGATGAGTTTCACTAGGAAATTGTGCTATCAGACACCTCCCTAGGATACTAAAGAGTAATGATGTCTGTTTAAAGACTAAGGAACACCTGATCCAAACCATGATATTTTCAGTTATTTGCTATGCATTTGACACTTGGACAGTGATTAGGGATGACAGAATAATAATCAGTTCCTTTGAGTTGTGGAGTTGGAGAAGAGTACTGAACATACCAGAGCCTGCCAAGAGAATAAATAGGTCTGTCCTGGAAAGAGTGAAATGTGCTCTATGGAGACAAAGATGGTGAAACTCCATTTTATATACTTTGGCCATGTTGTTCTTCAGTCATTGGAGAAGTACATCATGCTTAGAAAAGTGGTCAGCATAAGAGATAAAAGCCCACAATAAGATGAATTGACACAGTGACTGCAGTTGTGAGCTTAAGTGTGTTGGAGATGGTGAGGATGACATAGGGAAGATTCCAGATCTGTTGTTCATAAGGTCGCTGTGAGTCATAGCCAGCTTGATTGCACAGAACAGCATATGACAATACATAATTTACAGATTATTATGAAAAACCAAAATTCTCCACAGTATGAAAAGTATCAAATATTTTGTCCACAGGTAAAAATCTCCATTTGACTCCCAGCAAGCCCTCTGGAGCCCTCAGCGCCACACACAGCCAGGAGAGGTGAAATGTCCATTGGGTTCCCAGCAAGCCTTCTAGAACCCTCAGGCCTTCACAGAGCCAGGAGAGGTGGGGAGGACCTTTTCAGACCTGCATAGCAGTGGCCCTCAGTCTCCAGTGGAAAGTATCACCAACATTCAGCATCCTGCCAAGACAGTGCTTTTGCCTGAGACATCATCCTGCTTTGCCAGCTGTGCACATAAACTAGAAGACTCCAGTGCTCAGCAGCTACAAGAAAACAGTCCTAGAGTAGAACGTCTGCGACAAAGTCTTTCTTCCTGAATTGTCAGAGTGGGAAAGACTCACAGCTGGCCCCCAGTCCTGGATAATCATGCCACAGGACTTCACAGGAAAACTATAGGCCAGGTGAGTTGGCCTCCCACTTCCTACTAGTACACTGAGCTCCCCAACTGAAGTAAATCTCCCCTGAAGTCCAGGGATCAGCGAGAAATTCAGGCAGAGTGAACTGCCCCTCCCTCCTCTGGAGCTCTTGAGCCAAGATCATCAGAATAAGGTCCCACTAGGACCCCAGGCAGGATAAATCTTAGCACAGCAATGACACTGAAGAAGCAGGCTAATTCACACCCTACACAAGACCAAAGCAAGGTGTCACAAAAAAAATAATGGTCAAAACACAGAATCAAGAGATGTTCTGAAGACACAAAGCCTGATTGAACTTCCTAAGACAGAGTTCATAAGAACAATATATATCTATATATAAGAAGCTGAGCAAACTTCATACAGAATAAACCACAAAAGAAAAACACTGAGACATATCATAATCACATTTTCAAAAAAAAGATGAGAGAAAAATCAAGAGTTACCTATAAGAAAGTGTCTGTCTGTTTCATTGACTATGCAAAGGCATTTGACTGTGTGGATCACAACAAACTGTGGCTAACTCAGAAGAATGGGAATCCCAGGCACTTGATTGTGCTTATGTAAAACCTATACTTGGACCAGGAGGCATTCGTCAGAACAGAGCAAGGAAACATGGCATGGTTCAAAATCAGGAATGGTATACACCAGGGATGTGTTCTATCTCCATACCTTTTAGTCTATATGCAGAAATAATCATTTGGGAGGCTGGGCTCTATGAGGAGGAAAGTGACATCAGTATTAGAGGAAAACTCATCAACACTGTTGTGCAGATGACACAAATCCTGCTTGCTGATACTGAAAAGGACTGGAAGCACTTGCTGTAGAAGGTCAAGGACTGCAGCCTTCAATATGAATTGAAGCTCAACATCTAGAAAAATAAAGATTCTCACCACTTGGCCAATTGGCAGCATCAAATAGTGGTGAAGAGATTGAGACTGTTAACAGCTTCAGTTTGCTTGGCTCCACAATCAACTCTCTTGGTACCAGCAGCCAGGAAATTAGACAACAAATTGCATTGGAGAAGTCTGAGGTCAGGGACCTCTCCAGAGTACTGAAGAGCAATGATGTAGGACTGGAGACTAAGGTGCACCTGATCCAGGCCATAGTCTTTACAGTTGCTTGCTATATATCAGAAAGCTGGGCAGTGACTAGTGATGATAGGAAAATTGATGCCTTTGAACTGTGGTGCTGGAGTATTGAATCTACTGTGGACTGACAAAAGAACAAAGAGGTTCATCCTAAAGAGGGTGAAACCAGGCTGCTCCTTGAAGGCAAGGATTCTGAAGCTTCTTCTGACATGCTTTGGGTATGTTGCAAGGAGGGATTAGTCCTTAGAGAGGGATGTCATGCTTGGGAGGGTGGAAGGTCAGAGCAAAAGAGGAAGACCTTCGATGAGATGGATTTACTCAGTGACTGGATTAATGAGAGTAGGTTTGTCAGAGACAATAATGTTGGCACAGGATAGAGCAGGGTTCAGGGTTGTTGAACATAGGGTCGCTATGAGTTGCAAGTGACTCAACAGCTCGTAACATCAACAACCTATAAGAGAGAGCAACTAAGATTAAGTGCTGATTTCTGAGCAGAAGGCATGCAAGCAAGAAGACAGTGGAATGGAATATATCAAACACTCAACACAACTTTGACTCAGGAGTACTGTATCTAGCAGAACTATCCATCAAATATGACAGATCAAGATATCCTCAGAAAAGCAGAAATTAAGGGAGTTTGTGAAATCAAGACTACCATTGCAAGAAATACTGAGGGAAGTCCTTACAGAGATGCCACAGAAAGCAGGATGGACCAAAGTAACCAGCAGCAACACCAAAAAGAATAAAATGATAGCAACAAAATCTTGTCTCTCAATAATGACACTGAATGTGAATGGTTTAAATGCACCAGTGAAGAGAAAAAGAATAGCAGATTGGATAATAAAACCCATCAGTATGCTGTCTATGAGAGACACACCAGAAAAGTGAAGATAAAGGATAAAAATAAAAGGATGGTATAAATGCTAAAAGGGTCAGTAGAATAAGAACATAACCCTAATAAATAAAATATGTACTAAATGATACAGCTGCAAAATACATAAAGCAAACATTAACCGAACTAAAAAATGTAACAGACACAACTATGATTGTAGTAGACTTCAATACCACTCTCAAGAAAAGATAGAACTACCAGAAACTCAACAAGATTTTTAAAGACTAAACCACCCCAGAAAATTCAAGTATATATTCCTCTCCAATATGCAAGGGATATTTTCCAGAATAGGTCATAATGTAAGTTAAAAAGCAAGCATCAATAAAAATTATACAAAGCATTTTCTTAGACTACAAAATAAAACAATAATGAGGATAAAGGAGAAAAAAATCATATTTGGAAGCTGAACAACACCCTGTTTTAACATGAGTGGGTAATATTGTTCTTAAGTGCTATTGAGTCGCTTGTGATAGTGACCGTATGTACAGTAGCCCCAAAACTTTCTCAATCCTGTGCCAACTTTACTGTCTTCAGACACACCTGCCCTCATTACCCCAATCAGTGAATCAGTCCATCTCATTGTTGGTCTTTCTCTGTCCTTCCACCCTTCCAAGCATGATGTCGCTCTCCAAGGACTGGTCCCTCCTTGCAACCTGCCCAAAGTACATCAGACAAAACCTCAGAATCCTTACCTCCAAGGAGCAGCCTGGTTTCACCCTCTCTAAGACCAATCTGTTTGTTCTCCTGGCAGTCCATGGTATATCTAATACTCTTCACCAGCACCACAGCTCAGAGGCATCAATTCTCTATCATCCCTGGTCATTATCCAACTCTGGTGCATAGCAAGCAATTGTGAAGACTATGGCCTGGATCAGGCACACTTTAGTCTCCAGACTGATGTCTTTGCTCTTTAGAACTCTGGAGAGGTCCCTATCAGCAGACTTTCCCAGTGCAGTTCATCTTTTGATATCCTGGCTGCCGGTACCAATGGGGTTGATTGTGGAGCCAAAAAAAACTAAAGCTGTTAACAATCTCAATCTCTTCACCACTATTTGATGCTGCCAGTTGGCCCAGTGGTGACAATCTTTGTTTTTGTAGATGTTGAGCTTCAAATTATATTGAAGGCTGCAGTCCTCGACCTTCTGCAGAAAGCGCTTCAGGTTCTCCTCAGTCCTAGCAATCAGAGTTGTGTCATCTCAATAATTAGGTTGTTGATGAGTCTTCCTCCAATCCTGATGGCACATTCCTTCTCAAACAGCCCAACCTCCTGTGTGTTCTGTTCTGCATATAGATTGAAAAGATAGGAAGACAGGATACATACCTGGCATACAACCTTCCCAGTTGTGAAACATGCAATGTCTTCTTGCTCTGTTCTATTTCCTCCTGGTCCAAATATAGGCTTTGCAT